AAAAAACGTAAAGCATTTAGAACTGTAATGCTAAGACACCAAGCACAAAATAAACAATAAATATATTTATATAAAATATTTATATGCTGCTTTTCTGCTATGATTTTCAAAACTCCTAGAATGTCAGGTCATGTATATACTGCATAGTCTTATATTTTGGAAAAAAGTGACCTAGGAAAAAAATGATCTGATAGATATATATATGTATATATTCTGCATTAATAACAATTATTGTTTAATTTGAGGAAGTGGCAGAGTATTAGGAGAACTTAGATACATAAGGTCCACCAGGTCCCATCGCACACACACGTACCTGGCAGCTGCTCTTGTACAGCAGGGAAGCTACTAACACCCAATGCAGTTCAAAGCAGAATGAAGGCAGTGAGGAGCTCTGTGCGTGCTCACTTTCCTCACTGAAAATCCTGCTGTCACAGACACACTGCCTCTTGTAGACCATCAAGGATTACAGTTCACAGAGCACCACAGCTTAAGGCTGCACCTATCAGGAGAGCTGGGTGCCCCAGGAGTCCCTGAACAACAGTTCATGCCATGTAACAGCATCAAAGGGATGAGTCTTGCCCGAGAAGTCACTTGTGTTTGTCACAGACAACTGCCTGCAAATACTCTCTTGTTACTACACTGGAGGTAGGATGGTCTTGTTAGCTTGGAATATTCTCTGTTAAAAATTATGGAGCAATGTTTTTTCCATGTTTAGTTTGAGTTTTAGAAGTGAATATTATCCAAGTCTGAGGAAAGTCAAACTTGAGGAAAGTTGGTAGCTTCACAGGTTATTTTTTATATGCCGACCAGCCAAATCTTAAAAAAAATGCACTGCTTGGATCAAACTCTTGTCCTTATTTATCAAAACTTGCATAGGCAAGGAAAGAATTTTCCATTTCAAGAGCCATCCATTACATATCCCTTTAAAGACGAACGTTTACACATATAAATATTGTCCTTGTTGCTAAAGAAGCATATGTTTCCAATGCGGAAGAGGGATCAGAGCTAACTGCTGATTCAGTGCATTTCTTGTGGCAATTAAAAAGCGGGAAAGAGACTGTTGTGCAGCTATATAACTTAATAACCCTGACACGGTGTGACGGATATGCTCCTTCCCCAGCTCATCCTGACTTCTCACACGTAGCCCTGTTCAGGTGTTAACTACCACATTATCTGATCCTGGTAGTTGCCTCCCTGATTTCTTCCCCC